AAGAGTTAAAAACTGAACGTTCTCTCTGTTGAACAATGAGCCGTGCATGTGACTGCCACCTTTTTGTTTTATTTCTCTAACAAAAAAACCGCATGTTGGATCAAACACTTTATATTGTGGCATGAAAATCACATGACACAGCCGGCACGCTGATACAAGAAACAAGCTATCAATGAAAATGTTTGGTTTTTGACTTGTCAATGGTTTGTTTTAAGCCAACTCCACCTTATTAGAGAATTGGACTATAACAGCCGTGTTCAGAACACGGCTTCTGTTCTCTTCTCTGGTATAATGTAGGATTTCTTAACCAGGGTTCCATGGAACTCTGTAGGGGTTTCTCCACAGGTTGATGGGGGTTCCATGGAACTCTGTAGGGGTTTCTCCACAGGTTGATGGGGGTTCCATGGAACTCTGTAGGGGTTTCTCCAGAGGGTTGGTAGGGGTTCCTTGGAACTCTGTAGGGGTTTCTCCACAGGGGTGATAGGGGTTCCTTGTAACTCTGTAGGGATTTCTCCACAGAGTTTGATGGGGTTTCCCATGGAACTTGGTAGGGGTTTCCTCCAGAGGTTGATGGGGGTTCCATAGAACTCTGTAGGGGTTCCCCCACAGGTTGATGGGGGTTCCATGGAACTTGGTAGGGGTCCTTACCAGAATTTGGGGGTTCCATGGAACTCAGTAGGGGTTCCTCCAAAAGATGGTTCCATGGAATTCTGTAGGGGTTCATCTCCAGAAGATGGGGGTTCCATGGAACTCTGTAGGGTTTCTCCACAGGTTGATGGGGGTTCCATGGAACTCTGTAGGGGTTTCTCCACAGGTTGATGGGGGTTCCATGGAACTCTGTAGGGGTTTCTCCACAGGTTGATGGGGGTTCCATGGAACTCTGTAGGGGTTTCTCCAGAGGTTGATGGGGGTTCCATGGAACTCTGTAGGGGTTTCTCCAGAGGTTGATGGGGGTTCCATGGAACTCTGTAGGGGTTTCTCCAGAGGGTGGTAGGGGTTCCTTGGAACTCTGTAGGGATTCCTCCAGAGTTTGATGAGGGTTCCATAGAACTTGGTAGGGGTTCCCCCAGAGGTTGATGGGGGTTCCATGGAACTTGGTAGGGGTCCTTACTCCAATTTGGGGGTTCCATGGAACTCGGGGTAGGGGTTCCTCCAAAAGATGGGGGTTCATGGGACTCGGTAGGGGGTTCATCCAGAAGATGGGGGTTCCATGGAACTCGGTAGGGGTTCCTCCAGAAGAACTGGGGGGGTTCCATGGAACTCGGTAGGGGTTCCTCCACAGGTTGATGGGGGTTCCATGGAACTCTAGGGGTTCCTCCAGAGGTTGATGGGGGTTCCATGGAACTTGATAGGGGTCCTTACCAGAATTTGGGGGTTCCATGGAACTCGGTAGGTGTTCCTCCAAAAGATGGGGGTTCATGGAACTCGGTAGGGGTTCCTCCAGAAGATGAGGGTTCCATGGTTTCATGGAACTCGGTAGGGGTTCCTCCAGAAGATGAGGGTTCCATGGAACTCGGTAGGGGTTCCATGGAACTCTTGGGGTTCCTCCAGAGGTTGATGGGGGTTCCATGAAACTCTAGGGGTTCCTCCAAAGGCTGATGGGGGTTCCATGAAACTCGTTAGGGGTGCCTCCAGAGGTTGGTGGGGGTTCCATGAACCTCAGTAGGGATTCCATGAGCAATTTCTGCCTTTGATAACATCCCACTGACACCCCAGAGTTCAGAAATACAGTATCTCTAAGGGGGGGGGGGGATTCTTCCCAATGACCACAAGTGTAAGGAGCATTCTTCCCACTGACATCACACTAACTACCAGAGTTTTAGAAATAGTAATTTTTAGCAGGGGTTCCCTGAGACCAGAAAGTTATTTCAAGGGTTCCTCTGTGATGCAAAGGTCGAGAAATGCTTTTGAGAGCTAAAATAAACTGTTCAAATTATTTTTATTTTAACCACTTGCCCTCCAGAGGTTTACTCCCCTTCCTGAAAAGACAAACAATTTTGAAAAACAATATTTTTGACTTATTGCTATTAAACATGTCCAGTAAAAAAATTGAAATCAAATTTTGTCATAAATTTAGGCTAAAATGTATTCTGCTACATGTCTTTGCTATGAAAAAAAATCCCAATACATGTAAATTAATTGGTTTATGTGAATGTTATAGTGTTTACAAATGGCGGTATAGATATTGGAATTTAAACAATTTTTTATTTTACTAGTAATGGTGGTGATTAGGGACTGCAGTGGGCATCCTGACACTGGGGGGTACTGGCTGACATCCCCAGTGACACCAGTACAGTGATCAGTGCTAATAAAAAGCACACACTGTACTAAAGGCACTAGGCAGGACGGGGGGGTAACGTGGGGTGATCATAGGGTTAGCTGTTGTGTGTGTTTTCCTAAGTGTGCTGTGTTTACTGTAAGCACACTGCTTTGCATAGCTCTGCTATGCAGAGCCATGCAAAGCAGTTTGCAAGAGTCGACATGGGAGGGATCTGTGTTTATACACAGGTCTCTCCCCCTTCAGTAATTCCTGGAGATTAACAGCCAAGGCTGCGAATGGCAGGTCAGGTAGAGCGTCCCCTACCCGAAACTGCAAAATCACGTATACATTATTATTATACAGTATTTATAAAGCGCCAATAGTTCGCTCAGCGCTGTACATTACAAAGGGGGACAGAACATGTGACAGAACAATACCAATACAATGCAAAACATGAGGGGATCGAGGGCCCTGCTCTTTTGAGCTTACAATTCTGATTTTGCGCATCTGTGCCGTCCTATTTATGCTGTAAGGCAGTTTGGAACTGGAAAATTTATTTCACGTTTTTTTTTATGGCGCTGACAGTTTACGCAGAGCTTTATACACACACACATTAGGGCTATTATTTTCATAATTGATTGCCGATCATTATTTTGATCAAATAAAAATCTCCTAAGTTTGTACAATTTAGGTAATACAGTATAAAACTGTGTTCTTGAGTATCTTTATGAAGTGGTAAATATAAATTAATAAGCTATATGGTTAGGGAACAAAATATCTAATCCACTTTGAGAATAACACAGAAGAGATATATATGCTATTAGGAGGTTGAATCTGGTATATATCAGACCTGGAGATTAAAATTATTTAACCACTAGCCTACAGGGCACTAATACCCCTTTCCTGCCCAGGCCAATTTTCAGCTTTCAGTGCTGTCACACTTTGAATGACAATTACGTGGTCATGCAACACTGTACCCATATGAAATTTTTATCCTTTTCTTGAGCCAGAGCTGTCTTTTGGTGCTATTTAATCACTTCTGGGTTTTTTATTTTTTGCTAAACCAACCAAAAACAACTGAAAATTTTGGGGAAGAAAAACGTTTTTTCTTAGTTTTTGTTTTAAAATTTTCTAAAGTGATTTTTCTCCTTCACTGATGTGCGCTAATGAGGCTGCACTGATGGGCACTGGTAGGTGGCACTGATGGGCATTGACAGACATCACTGATGGGCACTGAAAGGCAGGTATCTTGATACAAGCTGTCTGCACCTGTTATCACTTATGCTGGCCATTCACAAAAAATGTTTTGTTGGAAAATTTGTTTTTAAAAATGTTCAGTAAGGTCTTTATCTCACGTTCATACATACACATACTAAGGCTACTTTTAGACAGGAGAAAAGTGGTAGCAAACTTCACTTTTTAACTTGTACCTACCAGTAAGCCAATAATTCATGTAGCTACAGCGCATGTCTCCTAATATGCCATTTAGGAGACCTTCACATGTTTTGCAGGTAGGGATGCTGCAAAACATGTGAATGTTGCCGGCCCATGCATCACTGAATTGATAGCACAATAAGTATGCTTTCAAGCTAGAGTGCTGTGCCAAAATTGTGACTCCCAGGCACATGAACGGGCGTGATGTCATCGCAGCTCAGCCATTCAAACGGCCACAGTCCAGTAACCCAAAAGACAGGGTGAAGATGGAATCCCTGTCTGAGGTGGCAGTGTGCGACTGGAGAGATCCGCTTTATAGGCTAGTCTTGTGTCATAATGTATGTTTGCAATGCATGCTAGCACATTATGACATTAACTTGTAAGGGGTCATTTTCTTTTTTTTTTTTTTTTTTTTTTTTCTTTTTTTTTTATGGGTTACTACTGCTTTAACCTACCAAGATATCTTTGGAGTGTGGGAAGAAACCCACGCAGGCACAGGGAGAACATACAAACTCCATGTATGTAGTGCTGTGGTTGGGGTTCACGTCAACTACCCTAGTGCTGCCAGGCGGGAGAGCCAATTACTTGGCCACTGTATTTCAAAGGGGTATGCTGTAAACTTTTTCTTAGCAGAACAAACCGTTTTTGTGTAATTTAATACAGTATTAATCCATCTTTCTTAAACGCAAACATTTTTCCAGGTAAAAGAAATGCATTTATTTTATTTATAGGAGCCTGGAAAGCAGTGCACCTGTGATCAGCAGATCATGGGTGCAATGCAGGGCTCCTGCAGACTTGGTGTAAGCTGTCACCTTGTACAGGCACAATTTCACAATGATAGGAAGAATCCATGAACTACCTAGAGTGCTCACTAGCTCCCTAGTTGTTCATTGGGAACTACAACCTGTCAGCTGCAAAGGCAGTTAGTACTTGTAGTTCATGCACTGACATAACTTGGCCTGTTCAATAGGGATTAGTTTGCTAGGCTCAGGGCCCTGTACACTCTCCTAATCTACATTTGACAGCTTTCTGTTGTGGCAATAGGCTGATACTGTAGGAAGAATCTCCTGCCCCCCTCAAATAGGCAGCATACTGGGTTTTTGAACAGATATGACTATGGGTCAAGGAAATGTGAGTGAAGGAATATAAACATCTTGTGGTTGCTGCCGATATTACTGCAGGTTTTCCTTTAACATTCGTTGTTTTCAATGCATGCTTCTGCTTGAGTACACTTTCCTTTATTGTTTATAAAGAATGATTGATAGTTTTATTCTTTTCCACAGTAGAGGGCAATTGTTAGTGAAAAATGACGAACACAAGGGGCAAAAGGCGAGGAACCCGTTATATGTTCTCTAGACCCTTCCGCAAACATGGTAAGTAATACAGCTACTTGACTTTTAGGGCCCAGTCACATCTATGTGTGGAGTGTATCCAAATTGCCATTCATTTTCAGTGGCTCCCCAACAAGTATACACAGAGTAAACTGCACCTCCAGGACACCAGAGTGCATTTTATAGAGATTACAGGGTTGTGAAAATTTTTGAAACCACTACTTGTCCAGGGACTAAATCGGTGTCCAAGTCTACTCCCTCATGACAAGCTACTTGTCCAGATTAAAAAAATAATTTTTTAAACCAAAACCATATTAAAATCTGAGGTGCCTTTAGGAATGGCTGGGGTTTTTTAAAAAACAAAAAGGGCTTTATGGTGACGTTTAATATTTTAACATTGCACTGTTTATCTCCTGCTCGCCTTCCTACCTGACTCACCTGCACCTGGGGACTAGCAGGAAGGAGAGACCTTGGGTGCTCGTCAGGAAAGGACAATGTCGTGCTTTATCCCCTTTATCCCTTTCACTTGCGTTTTTGCACGTTTAAAAAAAATCATATTAGGTCTGAAGATTACACACAGCCCCCATACATTCTATATTTTTTGAACGCGGAGATCTTAGAGAATAAATGGTGGTAGTTCCAATTTTTTTATGTCACACAATATTACCACAAAGGTTTAGGAAATACGCTTAAGTTAACTTTAAGGCAAAAAAAGCAATAAATTACTAAATTATTTTGGTAAAATATAAAAGTTGAGGTTGCACAGAGTAAATAGATATCGCACTGCATTACATTCTTTCCCAGCCTGGATGGCTGTGAAATCTGTCACCGGTCACCTGGAAGTGATGTCATAATGTCACTTCCAGGCCAGGACAAGAAGATAAGAGAGTAGAGGTGTCTGCTCTCCTGACAGGTAAAAAAAAAAAAAAAAAAACCTACCTTCCCGGAGGCCAGAACTAAATGTCCTGGGCGTCCGGCAATATAAACAGAACATCCCTGTATTCTATGCATTGCATTGGGATGCACTGAAAATAGGCAGATGCATTTCTTCATCCATTGACGTGCTACCCATGGAAACTGTACATTGAGGCAATAAGAATGGTGTTCATGAACAGACACTTTTTTTTTTTTGCCACAAATTTTGATTGTTGGCTAAAATGGATGTTTTTTGGTAATTGCTGTTGGTTTTGACGGTAGTACCCAAAGGTAATGAGTTTTTCTAAATGGAATATTTTTCTTTTCGAGCCCTTTCTTGCCTGTGCATGTTTTGATGCACATTACTGCGTATGCTTTAGAGCATTTTAAATGTGATTTTGTGCAGCTTGAATAATTTTTCATTCTAAGCTATAGTAAATAGAAGTGAACTGGCTACTTAGTTATTTAAGTGAAATTTCTCCCTTAAATTTTACAGCAGGAAAGTGGACATGTTTAAAAAGCCCCTCTGTTTCCAGCACAAATAAAATAAAATCTTATTTCTGTGCTTAATGATTGGCCTTCCATTTCAGTTGGTTGAACTCTTGTCATGCTACATGACTTGTCTTTGTATAGTAAATAAAAAAAACATACTTCCAATTGTTGACTGAATCAAATATGCGCAACTCTTAGAATTAGCCAGTAAAACAAATTTCTATTTATAAAAGCTAGGTTAAGTTTTTAATTTTATCAAACGTTGCAGATAGCTTCAGGCAGATGAATAACAGGTTCATGTGCTAGATGTCTTGCTTTTGCTGTTGTCTGTGCAAAGATATGCCCTTGTTGCTTTTCACTCTAGATGTGTGCTAAAAGTAACTGGCACATCAAAGATCACTTAAATATTGGTATGGAACTGGAAGAAGGTTGTATAAAGTGGGGGATGGTACTCTGGTGTTAATGGCATTATTTCTCTTCTAGGTCCAGTGCCACTGTCAACATATATGCGCATCTACAAGAAGGGTGATATTGTGGACATTAAGGTACCATTTATTATGTGTTTAGTGTTAAGAAATATGGAAACATACCGAAAGGATCCAAGACTATAGTATTGTTAGGCAGTTTGGGAAATGCCTAGTCTTTTTCATAAGCTCACCTAGTTGAATACCATTTTAAGATTCTGGAATTCAACTTAAATGTGGAAAATTATTCATAACTAGTCCTTGTAAAGGAGACACTGATTGTATGTTTATATGCCATGGAACAGTTTTACCACGCAAAGACTTACTTGCCAAAGATAATGCAGGAACTTTCCTCAAGATGGAAAACGGTTTTTCCTTGCCTTTTTAATTATTGCACATCTGCTTTTTCTAGCTTATGCCTTTTTTTTTTTTTTTTTTTTTTTTTTTTTGTATTACGTCATCTTTGCACTTTTCAGTTTTGTCACTATATAGCTGGGCTTCAAAATTAACACATTTCATCTGTTGTTGCCGTTTGGACTGACAATGGAAGCAAAGAAAGCAAAGGCCAGGGAGCTCCAAAGCCGGATGGATAGTAAACACACAAAACCTTCCGTGTAGGGCTAATGATAATGTATCAAAGATCAAATGTAATATATTGCATCTTATTAGCATGTAGCTGTGGTGGCTGCATTAGTTTTTCTATTTATCAAAGTCAACATTTTCAGCAAATGCAGAAGGTACCTGTTCTTGCCAGAAATGTCCTTTTCACCCTGTTCACTGAACTGATATATCAAACAATATTCTTAGTTCAGGTTATCTGGGGAAGTACAAACTCCCCTACTGTCATGTGATGAAGAGGGTAGGGTGTCTTTTTAGTCCAAATTAGATCATCCTAGGGTAAAATCACTGCCGCTCTATAGATACAGTGGAGCTTTGGAGTTCTGCCACCCAAGGACAGAAGTGTTGTATGCAGGATTACCATGTGGAAATAAAGAGCAATCTGGGGAGGGGGGCACTAAGGCAGCCATATCTAGGGATTTCTATGCTACACCATAATATAAATGTTAATCTCTTGTGCAACTCAGTTCTCTTCCTAACTTCTTCTAAGCAGCCCACCATCACAAATGTGATTCACACACTTTCTACAATCTAAACTTAAACAGTAAAGGGCTACTTTATTCCATCCATCAAATGTAATTTGCATAAAATTTAAATAAATAAAAGCGTGATGAACATACAATGTCCCACAAAACCAAATAACTTAAATGTATGTAGATGACTCCAATACATTCCAATAAATTCTTTGCTTTATATATTCAATATCTTAAAGTGGAACTATAGTCAAAGCTTTTTTTTTTTTTTTTTTTTCCCCACTTTTGGATAGAGTAAGGGAGGGTTATAAACCCCTGTCAATTTTTTTTTTTTTTTCTCGGTGTCCCATTGCAGAGATTTTGCTTCACTTCTGTCCTATAGCCAAACAGAAAGTGAGAGGAAATCCCTGAAAAATAAGGGGGACATCCAGGTCACTAGATCCAGTGTCCCCATTGGAAGACTTCACTGCTATTACTTTTGTGGGGGAACCCAAAATATGGAAACTTCTTTTACTTTCAATGATGATAATAGTGAACAGAATAAATGGAGAGGGTGAATCTCCTTACTAGGGGCACAGACACCAGGTTGCATGACCAGTATTTCTGTTTTTTTTACATATTAGCCTGTCCTGCAGATGTAGCATTTAGAGATTTGAGACAAACCATTTACATGGACGGGTGCGTAGTGATTTCCTTTTTGTGTAAAAACCTTTATCCCAAGAAGGGGGAAGAAAAACCTGTTTGCTGTAACCTCTTAAAAAATGAGCTTTAGTTTGGCTTCAGTTTGTTGATGTTTTTAAATCTGTTAGTGCACCTAACACTACCTTCACCCAAACTGACAGTGCTGCCCAAAGGTCTCTGTTGCTCCTTAATCTAGAGTGGGGGCACCATAATACAGGAGATGTTACTGGCCTTAACACCAGGTGAAAACAGAGAGGAAGGAAAAGCTAATGCCGCCCCCACATCTAATGATTAGTAAGCTTCAATATTAAATGATTTGGGTTTAATACTGCTTTAAGTCTGATCCCATAGACAAGTGTCATTTGGGCTGAGGCCTGTTTGCATGGTAGAAAATGCAGCAGAAGGTCAACATCATTTCATGTCCTGTTTTATTTGGGCAGTATAAAATCTGTCAATAACAGTATTCATTTTTAAAAGGCAACAAGTTTAAATTGCTCTGTGATGATCCTTCTCCACACTATTTACTTTCTTGGTAAATGTGAGTTAAGTATTTCACCGGTTCTGAGAGCAATCGTATTTTAAAAATTGCTTTCTGCTTTGAGTCCTCATTGCATTGCAGTTGGCTGACTCTGCTTCATTGCTTACAGGGTACAGGCACAATCCAAAAAGGTATGCCACACAAGTGCTACCATGGCAAGACTGGTCGGATCTACAATGTCACACAGCATGCTGTTGGTATAATTGTGAACAAACAAGTCAAGTAAGTAATGTTTTGTAATCTTGTCAGTGCAGAGCCCCTTCACTTTACCATTTTAGATATGTGTCTATTTTGGTCATTCAAGAGGGCTATATGAAACATCCTCTTTAAAACCCCAAGTCAGTTCTTCATATGTTTGGCTTGTGTCCTGTCAGAGGAGACAGCAGTTGCATTTAGAAGGCAGCAATACCTATATTGCTGACTACAGTTATGCAGGTTAAAGACAGATGGTGATTTCTGAAATATTTTGCCACTTTTTCTAAGGATCAAGCAGGCATCAAAAGTTCTTATTCTAAAATATCTTGTTCGTGTTCTCTAGATCCCAGTGACATGCTCTGTTATTGAGTCATTGTCTGACAGTACTGAAACACCATTAAGAAGGGCAGACATTAAATGGCTATCAATTGGTGTACACCCAGGTTGGGGTCCACATGCAGGGCAAAGTCACATTGTCTCCAAAAGGGCCTCATCTGACCACTTTATGCTCAGCTTGTCTGTGTTCCTCACTGGCCAGTCCTCTTGGCAGCTTGTCATTTTGGCATCACAGGGTATTTGAGATGTCACTCATCAATCATGTGGTAGTAGTTGGGCTGTTTGGCTTGGGCACTGTCACAGGGGAGCAGATTGCATGGTCCCCCTATAACCGGCAGTGCTGGAGCAGGTGAAGCACCGGCAAGATTGAGTGTAATGGGTTTTGTGGGAGGGCCTTTTGCAGAGACAAGTAACTTTGTCCTTCATGGTTAAGGGGAGTGACTTTCTTTTTTTGAATAGTTAAGTTGATTAGTTTCCAGAGGCATATTAAGCTGTCAGTTAACAAGAATTGTTTACACTATTAAAAGCCAGGTGTCTTCTGATTGTACAGTGTGATTTCCATTTTTGCAGTCAAATTTTAGAAAAAATAATGCTATATATTCCATTTCACACGGCAAAAATTAATTTCCTAACTTTTTTAGATGTTTCTTGGGAGGTGGTGTCATAGCAGACTGAAATCATATCTGAACACATTCCAAGCGAGTCTCTTCCAATAGAAGGACTTCAGACAGGCTGAATTTCCCCCTCATTAACATACAAAAGGCGGCCAGCTTCTTTAACCACATGCCCTCCAGAGGATTTAACCCCCCCTTCCCGACCAGGGCTTTTTTTGCGGTACGACGCTGCATTACTTTAACTGACAATTGCGTGGTCATGCAACGCTCCCCCCAAATTTACGTTTTTTTTTTTTGTTTGTTTTTTTCCCCCACATTTGATCACCTGTGTGGGTTTTTTTTTTTTTTTTTTTTTTGCGCTATAAAAAAATAAATAAGATTGAGGGGGAAAAAAACTATATTTTTGACTTTTGCTATTAAACATGTCCTTTTGTTAAAAAAAAAAAATCACAATACATTTAAGTTAATTGGTTTACGTGAAAGTTATAGCTTTTACAAATGGTGGTATATATACTGGAATCTTTTTAATTTTTACTAGTAATGGCAGCGATCAGCAACTTATAGCCGGACTGCAGCGGGCATCTGATACTGGGGGAACTGACTTGGTGTCACTGACATCCCCAGTGACACCAGTACAGTGATCAGTGCTAACAAAAAGCACTGACACTGTACCAATGGCACTGGGCAGGAAGGGGTTAACATGTGGGACGATCATAGGGTTAACTGTGTGCTGTTTTACTGTAAGCTGTGTGTGCACTTCACTGTAAGCACACTGGTTTGCATCGCTCTGCTATGCAAAGCCATGCATAGCAGTGTGCAGGAGCTGAAGGGAGAGAGCTGTATTTACATACAGTTCTCTCCCTCCACCGGTAATGCTCCTTGATCACCGGGTGCCAGCGAGTAATCACTGGTGATTGACAGCCAAGGCCCCCTACCCGGAATTGCAAAATATATACTTGATTTTGTGCACCCCTGCCACCCTGTAGCAGCATATCTGTTATAGGGCGGCGGAAAACCGACTTGCCTACCGGCCACTTATACCCCCTTCCTGCCCAGGCCATTTTTGCGCTGTCCTGAGTACCAATTGGAGAGATTCACCTCTTGTATTCAGATTGTCACAGAGGCAGAAAGTGAAAGTAAATCTAACATTTTAAAGTTGTACCCAGAACAAGAGGTAAGAAATCTTTAAATGGGGACAGTTGTTTTGAAGACCTAAGTTGGGGAATTTCCCCTAACTTTGGGAGATTTGATGCAACTTCCTGTTGTCTCTGGGACAGGAAGTGAATTAAAATTTCCCTAATGGTACAGCAAAAAATCTGGCAGTGGTTTTTAAGAATGAGTTCACATTTTGGAGCATGTTGCAGCCATATTTAGGGTGAAACGTGTAACATGCTTCAGGTCTGAGCATCCCCATAGTTCATGGACACTTCTTTCAGCCTTGTAACTGTGTGCGTGTATGGTGGTATGGACAGGCAAGCCGGAGGCAGTGTCTGCAGAAACCTTACGGGCCGGGGTCAACAGAAAGGGTTTTTTTTTTTTTTAACCCTTCTTCCTTAAAGGTGAACTTATTCTTTAATTGTTTCTGTTCCTACTCCAAATATAAAGAAATTGTCCCAAACATAAACTGTTCATAAGGGGGTAAACTTTAATCTTTAAGCCTGAAGGATTATATACAGTCATATGAGGTTCGGATTTCTTGCAGCAGCCTAATTGTGAATAGTTCCCTTCAAGAGTGTCGGTCAAGACTGATATTTCTATTTTTGTGAAATGCTAAGTTCAGTAAGCATCACCATCCTGTGTCCTGGAACTCCTGAGATGCTCTGAGCTACATTTCTAGAGTCTACCTATATAGTGATTGTTGGGGCAGCTTTGATCTCACACCTCAGATAAGTAGCTTATGAGTAATTGTATTTGCCAGAGTATGGTATACTTTATGTAAGCTGACAGACCCCTTACTTTTTTTTTTTTTTTCCAAGATGTACATGTCCACTTATTAGATCTGGCACTTTTTTCTTAGGCAGTGGTTAAAGGAGAATAGCCAAAGCTATTTTGGCTATCCTTTTCGTATGGATCACAGGAGTGCCGTTTTGTTCTGCACTGACTTGTTTTCAGGCGACGACAAGCTAAAGCCTGCTTTTGGCTGACATCACTCGTCCATTCAAGGCTCTGAATAAATTTTTACTTTAAAGTTCGAATGCACTCAGATGCTTGGACTGGCAGCTGGTTCAGGCTCTCAGCATGCTGCTGAGAGCTTGAGCGAGCTGCTTCCACCCCCTCCAGAGAAGAGAGCCGGTGACCTGACAGTCATCACTTTGCTCAGAATGGAGGGGGGAAAATTGAGCAATCGGTGGTGTTTGCTATTTTCTCGGGGGTAGAGCTGGAGGACATCTGCAGTTGGGATTGGCGCTTGTTGCAGCTTTTTTTTTTTTTTTTTTTTGCGCTACTCCCATACTACTTTTGCAATTGTTGGCTTTATCATCCCCCACAGCTTTTCCTCCTGTACCACTATCCTCTCCCTCCTAGATTGTAAGCTTCAAGGAGCAGGGCCCTCGAACCCCTCGTGTATCGCATTGTATTATTATTGTACTGTCTCATGTACTCTCTCTTGTAATGTACAGCGCTGAGCGAACTGGCGCTTTATAAATACTGTATAATAATAATGTGATCAGTTTTGACGGAATCTGATCAAATGTTGACATTGTTAAAACTGTACTTTGTAATTTTTGCCCAAGTAATTGCAGTGAACCTACCAACTCTTATATAAATGCATTTTTTGTTTATTCAGAGGTAAGATTCTTGCCAAAAGAATCAATGTCCGTGTAGAGCACATCCGCCACTCAAAAAGTAGAGACAGTTTCCTGCAGCGTGTGAAGGAAAATGAGAGGAAGAAAAAGGAAGCTAAGGAGAATGGCACCTGGGTGGAGCTAAAACGTCAGGTGAGGACACTGTCCATTTTTTGTGTTGCTCTGTAGAATGCTCAGTGATGACTTTTCTCCAACTATTTTACTGTTACAGTAAATGTGAGTCTGCCATTTCACCGGTTCTGAGAGCGTTGCATTGTTTTTCTTTTAATAACTGCATTCTAATGCAGAATAGTAATGGCTTGTTTTTTCTTTGCAGCCAGCCCAGCCAAGAGAAGCTCACTTTGTCCGAACATTTGGGAAGGAACCTGAGCTCCTTGAGCCAATTCCATACGAGTTCATGGCATAAAGTACTGCTATTAAAACATCCTTTTCTCAAGCCACTGCTTGTGTGTATTTTATTACCGTTAACTGGACTTGTACTTGTGCAGGCACATTGCGATGATCTGTAGAGGCTCTTGACTGTCAGCAAGTCAAGTAAGGTCTCCTCCTCTGAGCTGTTGGAGATTTAATTTGTGTTGGCTAATCAGATCTCTAAATTACTAAAAGCTGAAGTTTAGCACATGTAGCAGCTTGCCATTGCTCTTAGCATGCTATTTTTAAAGAGGATTGGAGCCAGTTCAAAACCTTTACGAGTACATGGTGTCCCTAGCAATAAAGATATCTTCGGAAATAAAACTTTTTTATCCTCAGTTTTCTGCAAACTAGACCATATTGGCACTGTAAAGCAGAAGTGTATCTGTAGTTAAAATGTTCCCAAGCGTGTGGGGGGTGAAAATAAGGTATTTGTCAAGAAGTAAAACTGTCAGCAAGGCTGGCATCTCTATAATGTGATGTCGGTGCCCTGCAATGCATGGTAACGGACTACCTTGCATTGTGTGCTGTGTAAACAAACAAAATGCCTATACTGTTACTACAGGTAAGCTATTTTGACAGCCCATGCAAATGAATGGGATACCTTAATGCAATGTGTGTTTAATGTCTGACATAAGGCATGTGCATTAGTGTAACCAAAAATAAGTTCATGTATGTCTGTTCCTGTGATATTCATTGTACCTTATCTGTTTGTTTTTTTACTTCTGTTGCTGGCAAATACCTGGTGATCCTGCCAGTGCCCCTTCCTAAAAGGATGTTGGTCTACATCTCCTGTAGTCAATATAGCTGGTTGCTCCCCTACCTAGTCCTAGTTTCACAGCGGTTCAACACGGTAAGGACTGGAGGGGGTGTGGTCAGCTGCAGCTGCTCATATCTAGTATGGCAGCAGTCTGTGGATTTTTATAAAATATTTGGCCTGCACACTATATAAACTTCTTGTTAAGAGGAAAATCCCCAAAGGTTTTTTGCCAGAAATACTTTGATGCAATGAACTTGATCGGACACAAACCTAAGTGTTGAGCTTATAATTGGACTGTAAAATAAAGATTTGTGTAAGGCCTGTATGCTGCTATGCCAGTGAATTAACCTCTATTAATGTGATAACTCAGTGTGAAATATGGAAACTTGCAATATAGGACTGCTGCTACCACTATTGCAGTGTACCCACACACTGCTATAGATATACTTGAGAATGGTGCGTGATCCTTATTTTATATACCATTTGTCTGATGTTTTAGTATTTAAAATAACTCACTATGCAATAACTATAGTATCACATAAAGTACAACAATACAAACAGTAGTGCTGAAATCATAATCCTTAACCACATGCCTACTGCACACTTTTACCCCCTTCCTGCCCAGCCCAATTTTCAGCTTTCATCACTGTCACACTTTGACAATTGCATGGTCATGCAACACTGTACCATATGAAATTTTTCTTTTTTCACAGAAATGGAGCTTTCTTTTGGTATTATTTTTTGCACTATAAATGAAAAAAGACATTTTTTTTCTTTTAAAAATTTGTAAACAGGTAATTTTCTCCATAGGGCACAGTGATTAGAGTGCTGGGTGCATGCCGTGGGGGGTGCATTCTGGGGGACGGACGGACGGGACATATAATGCCCTCCCAGAACTGGACGACAGTACTGTAGCTGTCATTTGGCTATAGCGTGGTCAAGAAGAGGTTAAAGTTTAAAATGAATGTCCACACCGATCTGTTTTTACTCTGTAACATGAACTTTCATAAGGTGCTTCCATTATTCTGCTCTGTTGCCCAAAAATTATGTGAACTTCTGTGTGCAATACTCGCTCACCTTGAAATTTGACCTACAAAAATGTCACTTGTGTTTGAGTGCTGAAGTTCCACTTTCAGCTATTAGCAGCTACTTCCCATGTAATGTCTTATTAAAAGCCCTGCTGCCTCCAATATGGGTATAGCTCAAAAGAAGTGCCCAAAGTGCCAATCCACCTCTGCGCGCAATGCTTGTTGTGCACCTTAATGTTTGACCTACACGAAAATAGGTCACGTGCTTTGTTAGATGCAGCTATTTCCTATATAGGGTCCCTTTTAAGAGACCAGACCTTGCTGCTTCCAGTGTGAATAAAGCTCAATAAAAGGGAAAATATTACATAGTACAACCCCATATTATACAATAAATTTTCTTTTGTTCCTCAAAATACACTCACAATGGTAAAACTGTAGCGCACAGTGCAAAACCTATGAAAGCTGCTTGGAGTTTGCAAAAAAGCCCATGAAGGACTCTCCGCAGGCTTCTATGTGTTTTGCATGGAGGAAAGGCTTCCTTCTAGCCAATCTGCCACAAAGTCCAGATTGGTGGAGGACTTTAGTGATGGTTGTCCTGGAACTTTGTCCCATCTCCACACAGGATCTCTGGAGCTCAGTCAGTGACCATCAGGTTCTTGGTTACCTCTATTACTAAGGCCCTTCTCCCTAATTGTTCAGTTTGGCCAGGCGACCAGCTCTTGGAAGAGTCCTGGTTGTGCCAATCTTCCAACTGAAAATTATGGAGGCCACTGTGCTCTTGGAAACCTTCAGTACAGCAGAATTTTTTTTTTTTTAAAGCCTTTCCCAGATCTGTACCTTTGCAATATTCTTGTCTCTGAGCTCTGCAGGTAGTCCCCCTGCAGGCTTTCTATATAGAGGGGTGTGCCTTTCCAAATCATGTCCAATCAATTTAATTTTCCACAGGTTGTCAGCGTAGAAACATATCAGCAATGATCAAGAGAAATGGGAAGTGTTGCAAAGAACCTGAAGAGCCAATGTTACATTTCAGTTTTTGTTTTTTTTTTTTTCTAAAAATAAGACCTTTCTAAAATTCTTTCCTTTGACATTATGGGGAAAAAATTAATTTAAACTGTAGTATCAGGCTGCAACATAACAGAACTGGGGAAAAAAAGGGGGTCTGAATAATTTATCAATGTGATGTATATAATTATACAGTCACTTTAAAGCCAAAATGTGTTGTGGGTCTTTTTCTCACTTTGGAGCGATATTCTCACTCCCTGTTCTGTCCACAGGGCAGGGAGACAAGTGGAATTTCTCAAATGTGAATAACCGGATTAAAAAATAAACTGATTTTAACCTTTCCCACAATCCAAATTTAAAAAGGCAGAGATTGGGGCTGCTGTGTGCAAAACCATTGCACAGAACCGGTACATATTTGTTATTTTAAGAATGTTTTTAACATGTTTGTTATTTTAAGAAAAAAAACATATTGAGAGACAGGAAAAAAATGCACCAGAACGCATCAAAAACGTGCATGAAAGCATCTGGACTGCATTACTATGGTGTGAAACGGCCTTAAGGTAAAAAATGTCTTGCTTTTAGAACCATTTTAAGGTTGAGCCACAGCTCTGTTTGATCATCTGGATATAAGATATTCATTGGCATAGCATTGTCACCTGATGTTTGTTATTCTCTGAAGCTACTTTATTGTTGGAGACACTGACTGCTTTTAGTGGAAGTCTTCAACAGTCAAATAAGCATACCTACTGAAATATGTTTTCTAAAGGTTAATTCACATAGGTAGCCAAGGGGAGGTAAAAGGAAAATGAACCAACCCCTGAGCAGCCACCTAAACAAAGACAGTCTCTCAAGACTTGCCATGGAAAAAAATAATTCCTCTGTTGCATTTGGCAGGCAGTACTGCTGCTGTATGGGACCTATTCGAGTTAATAGTCACAGCCTGGTGGTCTTTCATTTTGAGGGTTGAAGCAGGCAGTGAGTGACATTTAGCATCCCAGCTTACTTTTCAACTGCTCTATGAAACGTTTTCCACCACAGATTTCTTTTAAGAGGGGAGGCAAGGGCTGTTGCACAATGGAATAAACCAATATGTGCAGCAAAATCCAGTACTGTCTATTGCAGCCTTTTTCAACCAGGCACCCTGGGGTGCCTTCAGGCTTCTTCAGGGGTGCCTTGGCAAATGCCCAAAAATTGTATACAAGTCAGCAGGTGGACAAATCCTGCTCTTTAGTTACTGAAAGCCTCAAGTTTATATTGTGCACTTGTATGACCACCTAGCTGCTGTCATCCTAACAACTGTTGAAATCATCAGTTGAGGACATCGGGTGCATGCACATCATCCTTGTTTGTCCCTCCTCTGCATCTATGTCAGCACTGGGGTCACAGTAGCAGAGTAAGGGAGAGAAACAGACACACTGGAATACTAGTCAGTACCAATGTGCAAAGGTGTATTTGCTTTGGAAGAATAAATCACCTGTAACGTTGGGTGTACTATTTGTGTGAATGTGTGTAGAGTAGTTTTTTTTTACATTTTCGAATGGGGTGCCTTGAGATTGTGCAGAATTGTAAAGGGTGCCCTGACTGAACAAAAGGTTGAGAAACACTGATCTATTGTAATCTTCTGCTGTACTGCCGAAGACCTGGTCCTCCTTCGTGGGCATATTGGCAACCATATTGGCAACCCTGATGAAGTCACGTGTACTCGTGACGCAACGCGTTGGTACGCCCTGACGACACTTCCGGTACGCGGTGACGTCACTTCCGACGTACGCGCCATATTGGGACTCCAGGTACACCCGCAGTACCAGGACTACAAGAGGACTTGCTATATGTTTTTAAATCCATTGTGGAAATGTGAGTAGGCAATTTGTATCTATTTTTTACAATAAATATTACAGTATCACGCTATGGGAAGTTTTTGTTTGTGTCTCTGAGCATCGTCTGGTGGTATATTACCACCACTAACAGCGGCTGGAGGTGACTTTGGAATACAGTGTGTGAGGTGGAATCTACTGTGGATCTGAGACCGGCTGACATCTGAGGGTTATACCATATATATTATCAAGGCGTATTGGCCCTTGAGGTCAATGCGGGGAGGTGAGGAGGCACTCAAACCATTGTAGGATTGTGGCACCAGTGGCACCCTCACGTTTTTTGAAGAATCACAGTTTTGTTTTGAAGTGGACTGTATTTATTCACTATGTC